TCGGAAAACAAATGTAAGAGGCTGGGCATGGGGTTGTCTGCATCAGGGGTCGCTGAGAGGAGCGCTTCTGGGCCCCGAACAGGGGTGAGAAACTTCCAAAAGAGGTAGTAGCTTTAGTGGATTTTGTTTTTATTTTTAAATCCGTGTTACGGCAGTGCTGCTTTAAAGAGTCTCACGCAGAGTGAAGTTATCTAATTGAAAGCCAGGATTTATCAATTCCTTGTGAAAGACTCGGGGTCCTAGTTACTACTTCCAACCTTCTCCTACCTCCCACCTCCGCTTTAAAAACAAAACAAAACAAAAAACAAACCAGAGAGCAGCCTCCCCAATAGTAGTAGTAATAATGGTAATAGTGATATTCATCACTCTACATTTTTTAAGAACTGGGGAGGAACAGCGCGATGAATATTAAGTATGTGGATAATGTTTTCTTAATTCCTATTATTTAAGAAGATTGAAATCAATACAAGGGTTTCTGGGCTAAGACGGTGAGAGTAAAAGAACACTAGTTTGGGAGAAAATCCAAAGGCTAATGTTTGTGTGAAGAAACTTGGGAAGTGGGCAATTTGAGAATGTTTTCTAGTGTTACTTTGGAATGTTATAACTTAACTACCTCATCACCCTTCAAGAACTGCACTTTTTCAAGACAGAATGGGAAACCTGTGCCAAGTATTCAAATGCAAGTTTGGAAGTAAGGAATTTCATAAAAATATTTACAATACAAAACTGTCAGATAACTCCACGTGAGAAACCTTTTATATCCTTTTAGTCTTTTCATGCACTCAGGAGACCAGTAGTGTATAAGGTGAACACATTTCCTTTTAAAACTTGTAGTAAAAGAAACCTGTGGGTGCTGGGCTCTGAAATGAAAGTATGTGCTGATTTCTAATGGAAATAGCATTGTTAGGTGTTCACCAATGGCGTTGGAACCTGAGTCAAGATTTTCTCTGGTTTCACAGATCAGTTCTTTTTGTTCTTAGGACAGTGACTTAAAAACAGATGGGAAAATCTTAGTTTTGAGACAGTCATGTTGATTTAGACAAGAGACTATTTTAAGGGAGAGCAAGTCATATTTAAATTTGTCAAGACTCTGTCAGTTGTTGAGACCATGTGCCTGTTAATCAGTGGCATCTTCATTTCCCTCTGCCACAGTTTGAGTAGTGACCACTATCTCAGACTCTATTTGAGAGTTTGTATGTGAGGTGTTTGATGAGCACTTGTATATAAGTCATAGCTATTTTTGGAAAGCTTGGAACTCTGGTGGCTGTGGCTGGCTGGAATACCCTGATTCCTGGCCACCTGCAGAGTGATGACATTACTGTTCTACCCAGTGATTCGATCCATACAGACAGATGATAAGCTTGGTATGCTTGATAATGGTCGCCCTTTTTGTTTTGCTAATGTAAAATGCTTGAAGTTAGCAGCCTAGGTTGAAGGAATGTTATTTGGGGAAAGTAGCTTTGAGTCTCAGAGGAAAGATTTTATTTTATCTTTTAAATTATTTATTTTTTCTGTTATAGTTGACAGTCAATATTTTATATTAGTTTCAGGTGTACAGACTAGGCAGTGATCCCCGCTGGGTATACATCTGGCACTATACATAATTATTGCAACATTATTGACTTTATTCTCTATGCTGTACTTCACATCCTCGGGACTACTTTGTAACTACTAATTTGTAATTTTTAATTCCTTCACCTTTTCACCCAGCTCCCCAACCTCTCCCCACCACCTGCCCCGAAACCATCAGTTTGTGCTCTGTATTTATGAGTCTGTTTCTGTTTTGTTTATATTTTGTTCTTTAGATTCCACATATAAATGAGATCATATGGTATTTGTTTTTCTCAGTCTGACTTATTTCACTTAGCATAACACCCTCTACTCTAGGTCCATCCATATTGTTGCAAATGGTAAAATTTCATTTTTTTTTTTTTGCCAAGTAATATACCATTGATTATATTTACCATGCCATCTTTAGCCAGTCGTCATTGATGGGTTGATCAATGGGAAGCATCGGGGGTTGCTTCCATATAGTGGCTATTGTAAATGGTGCTGCAAATAGGGGTGCATATATCTTTTCAAATTAGTGTTTTTGATTTCTTTGGGGAAATATCTAGAAGTGGAATTGCTGGATAATAAGGTAGTTCTATTTTTAATTTTTTGAGGGACCTCCAAACTTTTTTCCATAGTAACTGCACCAATTTGCAATCCCACGAACAGTGTGTGAGGGTACCCTTTTCTCTGCATCCTCGCCAACACTTGTTAGTTGATTTATTGATGATAGCCATCCTGACAGGAGTGAGGTGATAGCTCATTGTGGTTTTAATTTGCATTTCTGATGATTAGTGATGTTGAGCATCTCTTTATATGTCCATTGGCCATCTGTATATCCTCAGAGGAAAGATTTTAATAACTTATTCCTCATCTTGATAACTTTCATGTTAGAATGGACTCTATTTCTGTATTTTGAATTCTGTGAACTATTTTACATTTCCCTTAAGGGATGTTTAATTGTTCTAGTTGAGAAGAGCTTTCCTACCCTAACACTGAGAAGCTACTTAAAACCTAGAATGCTTCCCTTCCCTTATTGATCAGTTGTTATACGTGGGACAGACAACCCTGTATAACCACCCAAGAATTTTAGTGAGGGAAATATGTAGTACTCTTGAAATAACGTTCTCAGCACTTAATTGAATCTAAAAGAGGATACTTTGTGATAATACTGAATCCCCCAGACTGCAGACTGATATTCAAATATCTAGAGATTATTTACAGGCAAGTTTTTGTATTTTAATCAATTCTTGACTTAGATAAAAACCAAGCAGCAACATTTACTGTTATTGTAGCATAAACAACTTGAAGTCAGGTTGGTTCTTATAAACCTGTTTTTCTTGGCAGCTGTACTACGGTTCATCACGCATTTTTTTTTAACCAGTAAATATGAAATTTTTTTATTAGTTTCAGGTGTACAAAACAATGTACTAGACATTTACACCCCTCACAAAGTGATAACCTCCCTCCCCCAATCTACTACCCCTCAGACATCGTATATAGCTGTTACAATTCCATTGACTATTCCCTATGCTACTCCATATCCTGTGACATACATATATTAAATTATAGTTGACATTCATGATTATTCAGCTTCAGCTTCAGTGTACACTGCAGTGGTCAGGCATCTACACCGTCCATGAAGTGGGCTCCCTAATAAAGACAAGTGTCCATCGGATACCCTACAAAATCTTTACAACGTTATTGATTATATTCCCCAAACTGTCTTTCATATCCCTGCCATCACACATTATGCTAACTGAAACCCTAAGAAAACCTGCCAATTTCAGTGAAAATGTAATGTCCTTTTTGCTTTCTCTTGATTGACTGGCTTTTCATTCCCTTTTACCTTGTCTCACTAATTGTGATTTTTGGAACATCAGTAAATCACTGCTTGGTTGGCTTCCACACCTCTCATGCCTCCTCAGCTACAAACAGTTTCTGTCTACACAGTGAATGCAATATTTATAAAACACATTGACAAATAATGCCCCAGCGGGCAAGATCTCTCCATGTGTTTTGTTTCATCAAAGACATTTAAAGTAATAAGCAAATGAAGCAGGTATTTTTCAAGGAAAATAATGATTCTGATAGTAGTGGTAGCTAACATTGAGCATGGACTGTGTTGTGTGCCAGACCCTGTGCTCAGAACTTAACATATATTATCTCAGTACTTATGACTACTCTCTGAAGCTTTCTTATGAGAAGGCTTATAGACTTGTTCAGTAATTTGCCCAAGGTCACCCAGCTAGTAAAGGGTATAGTGAGGATTGAACCTAGTTAATTCTGACTCCAAGAGCCGAAGATATCCCCGATCCTACTTCTTAGTTGATGGACCCATGCATTGTCTTGGGTCAGAACCTTTCTATTACTCCCTACAATTTTCCTAATGTTTTTGTTTTTTAATTTTTATTTTTCAATTACAGTTGACATTCAATATTATGTTACTTTCAGGTGTATAACATACTGGTTACCCATTTATATAATTTACAAAGTGACCCCCTCCCCAGTGAGTCTTGCTCCCACCTGACACCCTGTATAGTTATTACAATATTGTATTTGCTAAGCTATACTTTACATCTCTGTGGCTGTTTTGTAACCGCCACTTTATACTTTAAAAAAATTTTTAATATATTTTATTAATCCAATATACCCAAAATATTATCATTTCAACATGTCATTAGCATAAAAATATAAATTAAATTTTTTATTTTTTAAAAAACATATTTTGTCTTTGAAATCCAATGTGCATTTGCCCTTAAAGCAGGTGATCAATCCAATTTTTACTTCTTAATCCCCTCACCTTTTTCATGTAGCCCCCTTCCCCCCAGAACTCTCTTGATGTTTTAAACTTTAATCTTCCCTGCACTCTTTCTAAATAGATAAACTTCTTTTCTACTTGACTGAGCTTGCTGACATCTAAACAGAGCTCTTTGTCTCATGGGTTTTTTATTTTTGTTTATTGTTTTGTTTTTTTGTTTTTCCTCTTCGGCATCTCTTCTCAGTAGAGAGGTACCCTTCCCATCTTCATTTCTTAGAGATGAATCTAGATGACAGGTATCTAGAGACCATTTTGATTGTGACTGTTGAGGAAGGATGTTACTGGTATCTAGTGAGTGAAAGCCAGTAATGCTGTTAAACATCCTAGTATAGGATAGCCCCCCAAAACAAAGAGTTGTCTGGCCCAAAATGCCAATAATGCTGAGCTTGAGAAACCCTGATCTAGATGATGTCTCTCTTGACTCTCCTAAACTATCTCCTGTCTCCTTTATCCTAGCCTAACCCCCAGAAACCTTCACTGTCTTCTACTCCCTGGTGACTCAAAATGTGGTCCATGGACCAGCAGCATCCTTATCCCCTAGGAGCTTGTTAGAAATGTAGAAATTTGGATGTGTTAGAGCCAGGTTGTACCGCCAGCTGATTGTGTACATCTCTTTCCAGCTCTGTTCAGTGAGCTCATGATAGTTTGAAATTGCTAAAGTGGGAGTATTGATATCAAGGAAATAAGCAAGCTCTACAAATCATCACACCACTGTTTGGGCATCCACCCTAGACCTGTTGAATCAGAATCTGCCATTTGACAAGATTCCTGGGTAATAAACATTGAGAAGCTCTGTCCTACTCCACAGAATTCCCATTATCCATTCAGTTATGAACACGTCCCCAGTTCTCAAACAAAATAACAGCAAAATCCTATTCTGCACTGTCCAGCTGTTGCCTTGTCCACTTCCTTTTATTTTATTTTTTGAATCTTTTTCTAAAACGCTTTCCCAGTTACAATGTAATTCCAATTCATTGTAGAAAACTTGAAAAACACAGACCCCAGCTAGATGAGCTCTTGGCTGATAGGAGGGAGAGCTCCCAGACTGAGGCAAGTTGGTTCCCGGATTCCAGCATAGCTTGAGGTGGCAGCAACAGGTTCTGCAAAAGTCCATTTAGGAGATGGCTGTGCGGACCAGTCAAAGCTCCAGCAAGAAGAGGGCTGATTGCCTAGAGGCCTACAGAGAGGCTCCAGGTAACAGAAGGTTAGATTGTAGGGCAATGAGTGGTTTTATGTTACCAGCATCCCTGGGGCTGCCAACGAAAGCCTTGCCAATAGTAGGCTTTTAGTATTTGTCCTAGCGAATGAAACATTGATCT